TATGTGTTGGTATATTTATATTTTATTTAATTTTCAATTATATGCTTACCAAATGGAAATAAAAAAAATAAATGCCCAATTTCTAACATTGACTCTAAAATATACCTCAAATTAGTCTCTTGATCATGAAGGAGGTGCAATTCTGCAGGAGATGGAGATATTAATGGAAAGACACTGGGTTTTAGAGATCAGTAGGCGTGGGATGGTATCTGGGCTCTGCTACTTACTGGATGTCTGAACCAAGCCTCACCTTTCCCATCTATAAAATGGGAATACTGATATCTACTCAAAGCATTGTTGAAAATTCCAGGATCGCACTCTCTGACTACCATCTCCTTAACTGGTCTCCCAATTTCCACTTTCATATCCTAATAGCCATCAGGGCTAGTCAAGGTGACTTTCAGAAAGAGAGAAAGTATAGTGCAGTGATTAAACTGATAGACTCTGACTATAATAGACTGCGAGAGTGTGAAGTTGGGCTATATTACTGACTAGCTGTATTAGCACCGACAAACTATTAAACTTAATGCCTATTTTCTTTAAAAAAAAATGGAGATAATACTAGTATGCCTCACAGGACTGCTGTTGGGATCATGGGAGTTATTTTAGGTAAAGCACTTGGGACAGTGCCAGCACACAGTAAACACTCTGTAAATTCTACAAAAGCATTATCCTGCTGGCATACACGCTCCATGTGGCCAGGGGTTTTCATTTGACTCATTCACTGCGCTAAGCACTCAGCCTGGCCAGCATGGGCAATCCATAAATATTTGTTGAATGAATCAATGAATGAGGTAAATTAAACGTTACCTCTCTGGGCTGTTTTTACCCACAACACCCTGAAACCAAATGTGTGGGTGTTTTCCTCGGACCTTCCCCAACTCTCCAGACACCAACTGGGTACCCTGCAATTCAATTTAATTTTGACACTAACTGCCCAGAGTTAGCACCAATGTCATAGGTTTAAGGACGCAGTTGCACAAGGATTCAGCTGTCAGTCACAAGTCCAGGCCCGCCTTCATCTGACTGACTAGCTATAAATCATGACCAGCCTTCCCACCCCAGATTTGATAACCGAGTGGAGAGCCCCACAGAGCTCAGGGAAAGTTTGCTTACTATTGCCAGTTTACTTTAAAGGACAAAAGGCTGGAGGAGCCAAGTGAAAGAAATGCATAGAGCGAGGTATGGGGGTGTGGAGTTTCCATGCCCGCTCTCCACACCCTGCTGTTTAGGGATTTTAAGGGAGGTTTCAGTACATAAGCATGATGTGTTAAATCACTGGCCACTGGTGATCAATTCAATTTCCAGCCTCTCTGCTCCCCGGAGCTCAGGGGTTGAGGCTGAAAGTTCCAACCCTCTCATCAGGCCTTGGCCTTTCTAGCAACCAACCTCCATGCGGAAGCTACTTTAGAGGTCCCCCCAGCTACTGGTCATCTCATCAGTAAATAAAAGACACTCTTTTCATTCCAGAGATAGCGCAGGTTTTGGGAGCTGTGTGCCAGGAATCAGGGACAAAGATAAAAAATTTTGTTGTTGTTGTTGTTATATCAGAGTCGCTCATCCCTAAAAACTGCAATGGACTCCCATTGGTTTTTGAATGAAATTCAAATTTTGTAGAATGGCCTAAAGCTTCAAGATCGCCATCTCCAACCTCATCTCATATGCCCTGTTCACTGTGCTCACCAGGCTAGAAACGCCTGGCCTACTAGCCATCGACTGAACATGTTAAGCTTACTTGCNTCACGGCAGCCCAGCTCCAGGTTGAGCTGTTGTTCAGCATCTTAGCTGTGGAGGGCAGTGTCACTGGCCCTCACATGTGGGATCCGAACTGGGGCCCTCTGGCATCCCAAGCCAGCTGTTAACCAACGCGCCACTCGGCCGGCCCTGCGATCCTCACTTTTAAAATCAACTGAATGCCCTCTCTTCCAAATTCTGCCCCTATTGTCAGATTCTCCTGTGTGGCACAGACCTAAGTGAACGTTCCCTACAGATAATAATGTGATTTGAGTAGTTCAGAGGGAAACCGGCTCCCTTCCTATGTGCACATCTTCAGGCAGCCTGCAGATGGTGCTAGAGCACCGCGTGTGCTGCTTCTCCATGGGAAGGCTCCCAGCTGACAGCCAGGAGCTAAGAATTCTTTGCAAAAGGAACACGTGGATTTACTGGAAGAACTTAAAAACAGACTTCCCTCAAAAGTCTTGAAAGGATCAGCAGCGAGACAGGGAAGAATAATGTTTCCAATTTCAACAAAAAGAGGGATGCTATGCAGGCCCATGGCTCCCACTGCATGGGGACCTCAGATCTCGCCATGTTCTTGAGTTGAGCTCCCTCTTGTTAGAGCCAGTTCCTCTCACCCCTGTATATGTTGTAGAAAGGGCTTTATATTCTACATTCAGAGGATACCATCCCAACTCCATTTGGAGACCTTCCTTAAGAAAATGAAAAGAAATTTGATTGCTTTTCTGTGGACATTTCCAACTCTGTTAAAGACTGATCGTGCTTTGATGGGATCAGCACCTTTGCCTGTCCATTACACAAAGTAGAATTCGCTTATATGTCTTACCCTCACATACTTTCCTAAAATTATAAAAGGCCCTTGTACAATTGTCCCCTCATCTTTAAACTCACTACCAGTGATTTAATATAGGACTTTTTCATCTCTCACTTGGATTATCAAAAAAGCCTTCCATCTGATCTCTCTGCTTCTACCCTTAGGCACTTGAATTCATCCTCAAAGAGGGGTCATTCTAAAACCTGCATCTGACCAGGTCCCACCACTGCCAAAAATCCAGTATCTCCGTTCTGCCTGTAGGATGAAGTCGGAGGTCTTTGAATGGCGTCAACTTCCCCATGAGTTGACCCTGTCTACTCCTCCTCACCCTGTTATTCCCTATCTCATACTTTTTATTGCAGAATTATGAGTTGTTTATAGTTACTTGAACATATTGTGCTGTTCTCACCTTTATAACTTTGCTTATGTTACTCCCTCTACCAAGAAGGTCCTTCCCTGTCTTGTCTGATGACAATTTCTTTTAAGCATTTAAAGTCAGCTAGAATTAAACTCCTCTCAAAAGCTTTCCCTCACCCCTACAGGTGACATTCCTTTCTTCCGTGGGCTACTTTGTCACCTGGTAATACTTCTATTGGAGAGCTTACCCCTTGGTTCTGAAAAGATCTTTGTACATAAGTAAGATTGTGTCTTATTCCCCTTTAAATCCCCCCTAGAGGCTAATGAGCATAATGTGTTGAATAGAGCAGGAGTTCAATAAATTAGTGTTTTGTGACATGGGGTTAAAATATTGCTCAAGGTCATGATGCAGCCCTCAATGGCAAGTGATGCAAAGGGTAAAAGAAAGGACAGATGCTGCTGTGTCCTTTGATGGAAGATACAAAACATTTAGAACAGAGAAGACCAGGTTTGCTGCTAGTGACCTTAGAGCAGGGGTCCGCAAACTTTTGAGATGGAAGAGCCGCCAGGGGTCAGCAAACTGTGGCTCGTGAGCTGCAGGCTCTGAAGTAAAATTGTAAATGAAAATAAAACTATCATAGTTTCATTTATACAATTTTTACAGGATATTATTCACATAATGGTGATCATGTAAAAATATATTTATGGCTCTTGAATAATTTTCAAATTACTGTGAGGATTGGCTCTTCCAGGGGTTGGCAAACTTTTGAGACCGAACGTACCCAAAGAGCCGCATGTGGCTCGCGAGCCACAGTTTGCCGACCCCTGATCTAGCGAAAAGAATGTTGAGAGTTCAGAAGTGTGTCTTTGACCTGCAGGTCTGGCCCTCTATAGCTCTGTGATCTGAGATAACTGAAAGTGACTTTACCTTTCTGGGACTTAGTTTTTTCAACTATTAAATGAAAGGACTGGATTAGCTGACTAGGTTTATTCCAGCTCTAGTGTTTGTATGGTCTCATTCCTTAGCGTTGTCCAGATAAAAAGTATAAGCTTACCTTTTATCCTCAAGTCTGGGAAACACGACTTTCCCAACCTTGCTCATTCTTGCCATCGCCTCCTGTCAAATGAATAATAGCACACAGAGCTGAGTTGGAAAGCTGAACCGAAGTGAGGCTTGTTACAAGAAAGAACATTTAATGTGAATTGATTTCCCCTTAAAATATTCAGTTAATACATTTTTTTTTCAACTTATTTTCTTTGGTAATGGTAGTGACACCCAATGAACACTGAAAGTTACGCCTATGACCACACAGCCTGGGCTTAATAAATGGTTGCGTATCGAGGTCTCCAGGGCATAAACCACTAGAAGGTGAAGCTTTTGTGATTGGTCCCAGGGAGCGATGGGAAGAAATTATTTCCCTTCCTCATTGCCTGGACACAAGGGCCTAANAAATGTTCTCCTCCACCTCATAGTAACTTCCAGAATCTCAATCCTGTCCTTTTCTTTTAATCCATATACTCTTTCTGGCTCTAATTTCTTCCACAGTTAGGGTACAGTGTACCATCCATTTCCTCAAACACACTGACCAACAGGAATTACCACTAACTCTCTGAGTTGCCAAATTCAATTGGTATCTCTAATTCACAGAAATCATTTAGCCAAGATATGCTTCATTTATGGATGTAAGGGAGAAACTTTATTTAGGATGGAACAGGCCAATAGGAGGCTGTAACTCAAGAAAGTGCAACATCCTGACAGCTCTCAGGGTCTGAAAACTGCCTGCTTCAAAGGTATTTCCGTGCTGGGAAGATTCTTTGGCCAGCAGATCTGGAACCATAATTGGCAGCAAAGAATCAAATGTGATGATATTAACACAGTGCACAGTGACTGAGCTGCAAGGGATGTTGGGTAGTCACTAGGGTCAGTTTCTCTGTGTTTAGGCTGGTAAATAACTAACTTATCTAAGACACAGGATAACTATTCATCCATCCACTTCTCTACACTCCTTAAAGGTCCCTGTTTTGGATCTCTAACTCTCCTAGGCCAGCACCATTATTAGAGGTAGGGTTTGGATACTCTGGTTCTACCTTTTAGGGCTGGCCTTCGACTCGTTTCCAGTACAGAAGTCCCTCTGGCTAAGCCAGAAGTTATTTCAAACCATTTCAGGAGGGAAAAGACAAGCAGAGAGGTTGAATCTGAAGCCAAGAGTTGGGAAGGCCGAATACAGCACCAAAGCAAGACAAGAGCTGGAAGGCAACAGAGAAGCCAGCAGAGTTGGGGGGAAGCAGAGGTCAGACGGAGAAAGGGAGAGGCGTGGGGTCCAAGCCCAGGATAGGTCATTGTAGTGTCCTTTTAAATGGGTTGATTTTTTTTTCTGTGTTTCCAAAACCCCATGCTTCCCTCTACTTTAGCACTTAACACACAGTAGGATAATTGTGTGTTCATTGATATGTCTCCCCAACAAGTATGAGATCTAAGAGGATAGAGGTCACTGCTTTTTATCAGTGTTCCTGGCAACTGTTATAATGTGACACTGTAACAAATACATGCTGAGAGAATGAAAGAATAATGCGTAGATGGATGGATGAATGAGTGAATCAGGAGTAGGATACCTGTATAAAGAAAGTCTGGGCTCTCCCTCACTTACACTTTTTGGTATGTCCTAACTGTCAGGTCAATATCTTCTTTGTTGTCAGATGTCACAAAGTTAAGATTCCGGACGCTGGGCTACCTAGATTGGAACTTTGGCTCTTCTGACTGAATGGCTTGGACAATTGGCTAACCTATGTATGCCTCAGTTTACTCATCTGTAAAGTAGAAATAATGGAAATAACTACTCATTGAGTTATTCAGATGAGAGAGAAAATGCATACAAACCATCTAAATTAGTGCCTGACACAAGTAATAGCTTAGAAAATTTGAGTTATTTTTAGTCTTATCACTATTATATCCTACTCCACCCCAGCACGACACAGGATCTTTCAATGTTTTCTTGAGTGCTACTATTTAAAGACAGTGCTTCCACATCGTGTGCTACATGTGACATGCTGCCTGGACAGGGGAGTGATAAAGAGCATGGAATGAAGGAGCCATTCAACACCATTCAAATACCAGTTGATGCCTCTGTCTAATGAGGGGAGAAAGCTGAACAATGAGCAGAATGAGGGATGTAGAGAATAAAAGTGGTAGGAGCTTAGTTTTAGAAACATGGAGTTTATTTTTGGGTTGGACTTCCAGGCCTTTTACCTAAAATAAACAAAGAAAACAACAACTATGTCAGCTGTGTTTATGAGTTATGAGCTTGTTGTGGCTTTCACAAGACATAGGGAATTCAGTCTGCTTCCCTCTGGTTACTAAATGATAGACAAGCACATGATGTACTGGAAAGAGAACTGGTCTGGAAATCAGGAGGCTCCGGTCCTGTATTAATCTTAGTCTGGGCTCTGTGATTTTGAACAAGTTATTTCCTTTCTTTGGATCCCAGTTTCCTCTTCTCCAAAATGGGAAGTTTAACCAGATAATGTTAGTTTTATTGTTCAACAAATAGTTATCGAGTGCCTGTTGTATGCCAGGCAATGTGCTAGGCACTGTGATTTATCATTGAACCCGACAGCTCTGATCCCTGTCTTCATGGAACTTAAGAGTCTACTGAAGAGACACAGGTGTTAACAGATTGGTGTAAAAGGGAGAGAGAACTAGTCTGGGGGCTTAGGTCACAACCCGAAGGTTCAAAAGGAGTTGGCAAGTTAAAGAAAGTTGATAGATGGATAAATGAATCAAGAGTAGCATATCTGTATAAAAAAACTTTGGGATCCCCCTCAGTTACAATAGGATGAAGGAAATGCATATTTGGAGCCTCAAGTCCAGGTAATATGGCATATTCAAAGGACTGCAAGAAGTCCAAGATGGCTGGAGTAGATAGAATGAGTGATGAGATGATGCCACAAATGAAGGCAGGATTTAGATTTTGGATGGCCTTTTAAAATCATGTTAAAGGTTTCTGACATTATGCCAAAGTCAAGGGGAAGCCATTGGATAGTTTTAAGCAAGAGAGATCCTATTCAAGTTCATAAAAGATCACTTTGGCTGATGTGCAGAGAATGAATCAGAGAATGGTTAAAGTGGAGGCTAGGAAACCATTCAAGAGGCCCTTGGAGCAATCCAGGGCAGATGTAATGGTGGCTTGTAATGGACTAGGGTGGTGACTGTGGAATTAAAGCAAAGTGGAAGAAGTTTCAAGGGACATAAAATGTAGTTTACAAAGAGACTGTGAGAGACTGAAGAGGAGGGAAAAGAGAGGGTGACTTCAGCGTGCCCTTGAGATTCTGGCAGGAGAGATAAAGTAGATGGGGTGTCATTTTTACAGATAGCACCACGGCTGGACTAGTACCCATTTTGCAGGCAAAGGTAGAGGTGATGAGTTCAGATGTGAACATGTTTAAGTTGAGTTGCCGGTGAGCCCTTCAACTGGAGATGTTATGTGGGTAACTGTAGAGCTGCTGGCATATAAATAGGAAATGAACCCTTAGAAATGGATGAGATAGACAGAATTCTATAGGATACCAACATATAGTGCTGGGTAGAGGGGAGAAGGATTCTGGCAAAGGAGTTTGGAAAGCAGCATTCAGTGCAGCAAAAGAAAAATCAAGAAAGTATGTATTTAATGGAAGAGTGTGTCAATGAAGGGAGTGCTCCGTGTGGCAAAATCCTTCAAAGGGCGAAGCAGGGTAAGGGATGAAGAGCTCTTTGTGCTGAGCAATAACTTAGGTTAGTGTCAGGGACTATTTGGATGGAATTCTGGGAGTGCAAGGCAGATCATCCTTGGTTAAGGAGGCAGTGGGTGGGTGGTGGCAAGAAAATCATGCGAGTGAGGACAGCCATCTTTTAAAACATTTTTGACTGTGAGAGACAATAACTGGAGGGGCTGCTAGGTAGAAAAGAGAGTTTATTTTTAAGATGGGAAAGTTTATGGTAGCACTTTCCAACAGAAATAATGTGAGTTACATGACTAATTTTAAATCTTCCTAGTAGCCACTTCAAAAAGTGAAAAGAGGGCCGGCCGAGTGGCACGATGGTTAAGAACTGGTTTGGGATGCCAGAGGGCCCCGGTTCGGATCCCACAATGAGGGCCAGTGACACTGCCCTCCGCAGCTAAGATGCTGAACAACAGCTCAACCTGGAGCTGGGCTGCCGTGAGTCGCCGGCGACGGCNCGGGGAACAATGGCCTTAAGACTTTGGGAAGACTATCAAGAAGTTCTAGACCTAGACACCCAAGGGCACTGCTAGCTTGGCCGTGTCCAGAGTCATGATCTGGGGGAAGAATGAATAACCAGGACCTGGCATGGCAGGAGCCAGCGTGTGAGCTCCCCATAGGCAGGAACCAGGTCACGGTAGGTTTCATGCCCAGTACACTCCTAGCCCTTACAGGTGCTTGGTGCATGATTGCTGAGTTACTGAATTAAAGGGCCATGACTTTCACAACACGGACAGTGTAAGATCATCTAAGCCAGTGTTTCTCAAGTGGCAGACATGCACTCCGGGAGTGCTCAAGATGTTGCACTAGGATTCTGGAAGAAAATATTGGAGGTGCCATTTATATGATTTTCAGTCTAAGGGAATTAATTAAGCTTTGCCAGCACTTAATATGCATATTATCGCCAGATCCATTAGTAGGTCCACTCATCAGATCGCCATGAGTCAGGTAAGACGTGTGAGGTTTCCTGAGAGAAGAATGGACGAGAGCTACAACACTGAGGGGACGACAGCATGGCACTTGGCTTCTACGTCCCCAGCTGCCAGGATCTGCTACATGGTGTCATTTACATGGCCCAGGGTAGTGGATTCATAGGTGTTATCTGGCTGATTTAAACCAATCCCTACAAAATCGACAAGCGGCTGAAAAAGATTCAGTCAATGGATTAAAGGTAATAGTAATAATTGAGATTCAAGTAAACAAGAAAATGGTGACACTTTTACTTGGCACTAGGTCTTCATATTATAAGGCAAAAACAATGAAGACCTAGTATACCTTTCGATATTGCATAATGTTAGTATGAAGGCATCATAGTAGGCAAATATTGGAAATATTTTATTTTAGCTATATTTTACCTGTTTT